TTGTTGAGACCAAACGCAGACTTGGTGACTAATTCATGGAGCATCTGCACTCTGTACTCTGTAATCAACAACATCTTCCGGTTGCCAGCCATTTCAATTCCCCCTCCCACTCCCTTGGCGACATGCCCATCCTGGGCCTCCTCCAGTGCTACAATGATGCCACACGCATTGCGGAGGAACAACACCCCATATTCCACCATAGGGGCTTACAGCCCAATAGTCACAACATAGAAATCACCAGTTTCAAAATCTCCCCACCCCGACCTCATCTCATGTCCAACCTTCCCTCTCATCCCCGCCTCCTTGACATGACACAACCTGTCCATCTTCTTTCCCACCTATGTGCCCCACCATTCCCACTGACCAATCTCCACTACCCCATACCTACATCCACCTATCACTATTCCCACCTACCTTCCCCCAACCCAACGCTCCATTTATTTCCAAGCTCCCTTCCCCCTCCCCAGTCCTGATGAAGGGTGTAAACCCAAAATGTCGACTTTCCTGCTCCTCTGATGCTTCCTGACCTGCTGTATTCCTCCAGCTCCACACTGTATTGACTCTGACTCCAACATCTGCAGTTCTTGCTATCTCCTTACTTCATCCTGGATTTTCTTTTGGAGAGAGGTTCAGCATAGAATGTCATATCATAGAATCCCTATAGTGTGGAAACAGGCCATTCAGCCCAACAAGTTCATCCCACCCAGAACCACTCCCCTGCGCTTTCCCTGTAACCCTGCATTTCCCATGGCTGATCTACCTAACTACACATCCCTGGACACAATGGGCAATTTAGCATGGCCACTCCACCTAACCTGCACATCTTTGGACTGTGGAACGAAACCAGAGCACCTGAAGGAAACCCAGGAGATGTAGTGAGAATGTGTAAATTCCGCACAGATAGTTGCTCAAGGGTGGAATTGAACCCAGGTCGCTGGTACTGTGAGGTAATGATTTCTAGCTGCTACTTTCTCTGAAATCTCTCGATGTTGTTTTATCCTGGATTGGACAACTGCATCTAAGAATCTGTGTCTGAATTTACTTTTTTTCCAAGGGGTGAGTATATGGGATGTTACTATGTTGGAACATTTAATTAGTAATAGGTACTGTACCTATTATTTGGTTAAGTTTTGCAATAGTTGTTATTCTAAGTTCCTCTTTCTTTCTTTTGTTAGTGTTCTAACTATTGTGTTTAAATAAATTGTGTTTTGCTTAACATTGAGTAGTTTAACTAGTCGCATCACATCTGGAACATGCACTTCACATGTACCTTTAAAATAAGAAAAGTTAGGGTCTAGGCTACTTACTTAAAATATTTTGAGGGGTCTGTTCCTTCTTGTAGGGTTCAGGTGTCGTACGTAAGTGAATTTCCATCTTTTCCCTTATGTAAAGATAGTAAAGGGCCATCAACTGGAAGCATTTTGAGAATATTATATTATCGGCCCCTATAAAATGTAAGTCCTCATCTTGCAATACGCAAGTGAGCTGTGTGACCTGAGTGTTCGGGAAATCTGACTACAGACTGTAGTAATTAGAGAAACCATTACTGTTTTTGGCCAACATATAGGTTTTCAACTTTGCACTAAACCAGATAAGTATGGCTTTTTAATCTATCTCTGCCACAATTAAATCTGTAATCACTTAAAAGAAGTCTCTCTCTGTACTTCCTGAAGTTATCTAATTGCTGTTATGTTTTAAGTCTTTGCAGCTGAAGTGCTTTTCTGTATTTTAGTTGATGTGAACTGAATGGAAAGATTAGGTGCTGCAACTTTCCATTTGGGATCTAATGCATTTTTCTCTGCGCTTTCTTGAATTGGTCACTTGAGTTTGAATTAAAAATAAAATTAGATGTTTGCTTATGGATCTAGTATGGAAATAAGCAGGGATCAGATGCCCAGCTAATGACTGTGAGAAGACTGTGAGAGGCTGGTTATAATAAAATACCCCAACAATAACAAAAGATTTAGAAATTTTGCTTGTCTCAGTCACATTTTCCACGTCGGCTCTCCTTCCAACTTAAATAAATGGCTAACACCATTGGCGTTGGTTGATATTGCAGGCAATACAAGTTAACAAATTTTTACAATGAAAAGTTGTTTTTGTTTTGGTTCTGTGCCTCACAGTGTGATGTTGAGCATTGCCAGCGTTGTCTCTAGTTAGGCTTGGTGTTATTTTTATTGCCATCAGAACTAGACTCAGATGTTCCATGTTGTCAGGATGCAGGGAACCTCATTTAGTTTGTATACAACCTAGGATTGTTTTTCTCAATCTTCTTTATTATTAGTAATTCTAATAGAGAGACTTGCCACGTAAACACAGTGACTGCGAGAGCAGGTCAGAGTCTAGGTATAAATGTGACGAGTAACTCACCACCAGGCACACATCAGAAGTGTGATGGAATATTCCCCCACTTGCCTGGATAGGTGCAGCTCCAAAAACACTCAAGAAGTTTGACACCATCCAAGACAAAGCAACCCATTTGATTGGCACCACATCCACAAACGTCCACTTATGTGCAGATGATGTTTCAACTAATCAAGCAAAGGTGACAAATAACAAAACATGCGAGATACTTTGGGATATGGTGGATAGTAGAAAGAGAAACAATATTTTACTTTTGTGGAGAACCTCTTTATGTCCTTAAGACACCACAAAGTAATGCACTATCAGTGAATACATCTTAAAGTGTAGACATCTTCATGTCATAATCACTGCAGTTGATTTACACATGGCAGTGAGGAAAATGATAATTAATTTATTTTTAGCTATATTTATTTAATGATAAATATTAACAATCCTTCACTGGTTATTTTATTAGATTGGGCTCTTGATAACTTGACATCATTTCTGCAATGAGCCAAAATTTCTTCCGGTTGGATATTGGGTATACTGATGCAGTTATCCTCAGCCTTTGTCACCAAATCTATATTCTTGCCACAGATTCTATCCTCCTCTCCAACCAGTGTCTTTATCCCCTCCCCGTCACCATCTCAGTAGGAACCAAACTGCAAGCTCTTCATCCAATTCCAAAATGAGCTGAGCCTCCAATGTCATGTACTATTAATTGCAAAGACTCCATATATACACGCAAAAGTTTGGAAACACGTACCAACAGATTGAAGAACAATTTCTTCCCTATTGTTATCAGATTATTGAATGGGCCTGTCATATATTAAAGTTGATATTTCTTTGCACGTTGTCTGTAGTTGTAACACTATATTCTGCATTCTGTTCTATTACCCTGATGTACTTACATAAGCCATGATTTGCCTGGATAGCACACAAAACTGTACTTTTCACTGCATCTTGGTGCATGTGACAATAATAAATCAAATCAAAATCCACTTCCTACTGAAACCTTCATCTATGCCTTTGTCACCTCGATACTTGACTATTTAAATTGTCAGCGCTTTGAAATCCTAGAACTCTCTATCTAACAGCATTTTGAGAACAACTTTAACATACAGTAGTTCCTGAAGCAGCTCCTGCCCCTCAATACCGCTGCAGTGCAACTAGGGATAAATAGTAAATGCTTGCCTTATCCCATAAACTATTTCCAAAGAATATATTAAAAAAATGCTATCGTTGCAAACTTCCATCCATAGACATCAGTTCATCCTAAATTCTGATGCCGATATTTTACTATTCCATTTACCTTTGTGTTAATGATTCATTTTTTCTGATTGTGTCCTGTTGAAATTCCCTGGAACATTTTTCTACCCGAAGTCGTTGATAAGATGTAAGTTATTGTTAATGAATAACATAGTGGAACTCCTTGCTCTGCTTTGATTTGATGCATTGGTATCTACACGAGTAAGCAGTCGAGACCTCAGTTTCTGCAGTTCTGAAAGAAAGCATGGATGATGATACATGTTGGCCCCAATTATGAGCATAAAGAATCCCTGCCATAAATGTACCAGATTTAGCAGCCATTGGAATGCCTCTGGTCTTGGTAACCAACTTCAGTGAAGCTGTCGAGCCATAATGGTCTCCTTTTTGTGGGTAGTAAGATTCTATGGTTCTGACATCTTGAGTTTGTTGTCGTTTACACAAGAATCACATGTACTATCAAGGTAATAGAGTGGGCAACACCAATATAAAAACAGTTAACCTCATTGATTTCAGTACAAAAAGAGGACTCCCAATTGCATCAGTAAAGTATTTGCATTTTTCACTGTCGCCATCCTTGTGGTCTCCCTGAATGCTAATGCAAGTATAATACCGTTAGTACAAGATCAGGTCATTTTTCTGTGATTTATGCCTCTTAAAAACAGGTGTGGGAGAAGCCAGTGTTTTTTCATTTGGATTAAATTTAGACATTGGAGAGCAGAGATTTTAGTCTTGTTCATTCAGATTTGGATTCAAAAATCCCTCTCGCAAATGAGGAGAGTGAGAATTAGTTTTTTTTGTGTTTACAATTCATGTTTTCATTGAGGTTTTTATAGGCGAGAATTTTGTCTTATGCATACTAATAGTTGAAGGTTGTATACTTAGTGGTGAATATCTAAAAAACCATTCTTAGTGAAAGTTTTATAAACTATTTACGTTGAAGTAACCTTTTTGTGTGATGGAAGGAGTTGATAAACACTAGCTCAGGTACATTAATGAGAGAGATATTTACTTGCTTTTTGTGACCGGATGAATTGTATAACTTTAATTTGTTGGCACTTGAAGTCTATTGTGTAGTTCATTGTTCAGAATCTGTATTGAGTGATTAAAAGGAAACTCACATCATGGACTTTGCCAACTAAGAAACTGTGTGGTTGTGCCGCTGCACAACAGGAGGCTACTGTTGACTTGAGTTCCTTTACTTTCCTTGACAATTAAAATTGAAAGCCATTAGAAATTTGTAACATATAGATTCATAAGCTGTGTAGCCTACTGGATAGATGGGTGATTACATGCCAAAGTTAGTTCAAGAGTACAAATGACCTTGTTCACTTGACTGATGCTTTTCACATAACACAATCCACTGACTGTTTGTTTTTCTTCCTGAATAGATTTTAAACGGAGAGACGTCAACCTCAAGATAGAGCCAAAATGTCGGGTTCCACAAGGGAGCATATGTCTTTTGTACGACGTAGGAACCCTCAACTTCGCTACACCCTGAGTCCTGAAAACCTGCAGAGCCTAGCTTCCCAGAGCTCCAGATCAGAGAACTTGAATTTCCACAGAGCCAACAGTGACACAGATTTGGTGACATCAGACAGTCGTTCTAGTTTGACGGCTAGCATGTATGAGTACACACTTGGACAAGCACAGAACCTGATTATCTACTGGGATATTAAAGAGGAGGTGGACCCCACAGACTGGATTGGACTGTATCACATAGGTAAACCAAGTTTTAGAATTAATATCTTCCTTCAAAGCTCATTTGGAAAATTGTTACATTGGGCTGGAAAGCTTTGACATGTTTGGGATCTATTCATCTTTTGCAGTTTTTAGCAGTTTTAGAGTTTATTTAACAGTGATGCAACAATGACAACTTGCTGGGGCACTGACCTGCTGCCTCATCGAGAGAAATGAGATGCTTGTAAGCAAAGTCCCTGCTGTGCTGGGACAGATAAAACAAGACACTTCCTCACAGGGAGACAGAAGGGGACTTTAGAAAATCATCCATCCAAACTATCTGTCCACATCATCAGTAAACATGGAACAACTTGTGGTAATGTTGAAGCAGGATTCCAAAAGGATTATTAAAGGAAAATGAATTTTACAAATCAGTAGAGAGATAGGTTTGTTATTTTCCAGCTTAGTCCAAATGTGTTCCTGTTTTTGATATTTCTGCACATATGTATATGGGATGACATCAATCGATCTATTTGAGTATATTTGTAATATCTTCAAATACACCCAGAGAATGAAGATACACGATGGTGTTGCTTTGATGATTATTTTTTGTTAGTTTATTAAACAAATTCATGTTTCTTTGATGGATTAGTGAGATTAATCAATGAGTAACTGAGTTATACTACCGAAGGGGTCCAAGTTGTTGCACTTACGTCACTGATTATGACTTCTGATTGATATTCAGAGATTGCTGCTGGAAATGGGCATCGTTGGTGAGAACGAAATTGACCTTGGGTTGTGATGTTGCAGCAGTTCAAAAGCCTTCTGACACTGGCTATTGACTATCACACATGAATAATGGCAACGTGGGTGAAATCCACGTACAAAGAGTACAAAGAACAAAGAAAATTACAGCATAGGAACAGGCCCTTCGGCCCTCCAAGCCTGCGCCAATCCGGATCCTCTATCTAAACCTGTCGCCTATTTTCCAAGGATCTGTATCCCTCTGCTCCCTGCCCATTCATGTATATGTCTAGATACATCTTAAATGATGCTATTGTGCCCGCCTCTACCACTTCCGCTGGCAACGCATTCCAGGCACCCACCACCCTCTGCATAAAGAACTTTCCACGCATATCTCCCTTAAACTTTTCCCTGCTCACCTTGAAATTGTGACCCCTTGTAATTTAGTCCCCCACTCTGAGAAAAAGCTTCTTGCTATCCACCCTGCCTATACCTCTCATGATTTTGTAGACCTCAGTCAGGTCCCCCCTCAATCTCCGTCTTTCTAATGTAAATAATCCTAATCTACTCAACCTCTCTTCATAGCTAGCGCCCTCTATGCTATAAACCAGCACAGAATTAGGAGAGGAGGGAAATAGAATTGGTTATTTAAAACAAACACTACTTCTCTACCATGCCCTTTTATAATCCTAATTTCATACTGCAGTATCAATAATTTATTTATGTAGAACCCTTAATGTAATAAAACCTATTAAGTTGCTTCATAGGAGCATTCTAAAATAAAATAATGCTGAGCTACATAAGAAGATATTAGGTCAGATGATCAAAAGGTTGGTCAAAGAGGTAGGTTTGAAGGATTGTTTATGAGGAAGAAAGTGGGTTAGAAAGGCAGTAAATTGCAGGGAGGAGATTCTTGAATTTAGAACTCAGGGATTTGAAGGCATGATCACTAATGGTGCTATGTTCAAGATCAGGGGTGCTTAAAAGCTCACAATTAGAGGAATGGAAGAAATTACAGAGTTAGGGAGGGGTAAGGCCATGGAGTAATTTCAAAACAAGGGTGAGACGTCTCAAATCAAACACTGCTTTACCAGGAGCCACTATAAATCAGCAAGCATGGAGGTGAAAAGTGTAAAAGACAACATAAGACTCAGCTAGCAGAGGTCTGGATGACCTAAAATTTATGGAGGGCAGAATGTGGGAGAACAGCTAGGAGGGAATTAGAAAAGTCAGGGCTAGAGATAACAAATGCATGATATTGAGCAATAAATGAGCTGAAGATGGGGTGAAATTGAATGTTGTTATTAGAGGTAGAAATTCATGGTCCTAATGATGGCACAAATACGTAGTTGCAAGCTGTGAACAAACTGGTTTAGTCTCAGATGTTTACCAGAGAGAGGAATGGAGGCAGCAGATAGGGAATAGAGCTTGGTACTGCGTCAGTGACTTCAGTCTTTCCAACATTTAGTTGATGTAAGTATCAGCTCATCCAGCATTGGCTATCAGAAAATATTTTGATAATTTAACAACAGTCAAGAGAGGTGCTAAAAATTAATGTTGTGCTTTCAGATGATACCAGCAAGAGGTAGAATGTAGATGAGAAAGGTTAAGGAGCATATTACAACTGTGTTGAGGAAGGACACCCTGGAGGGATCTTGTAGCAAGGCATGATGAGTAGAGCTCAGGAATAGGAAGGGTGCAATCACAATGTTGGGATTGTACTGCAGACCTCCCAGCTGCCAGAGGGAGAAAAAGGAAAAGATATGTAGTCAGATTCTGGAAAGATGTGAAAAAAGCAGGGTTGTTGTTCTGGGTGATTTTAACATCCCCCATATTGAATGGGACTCCCTTAGTGCTGCGGGTTTGGATGGGGAGCAATTTGTTATGTGTGTCCAGGAGGGTTTTTTTGAACAGTATGTGGATAGTCCAACGAGGGAGGGGGCCATACTGGACCTGGCAATGGGAAATGAGCCCAACCAGGTGATCAGAGCTTCATTGGGGGAGCATTTTGGGAATAATGACCACAATTCCATACATTTTTGGCTACATATGGATGAGGACAACTGTGGACCTTAGATGAAGCTGTTAAATTGGGGGAAGGCCAACTATTACTGAATTAGGCAAGAATTGGAGAATGTGGGTTGGGAGCGGCTGTTTGACAGGTGGAGTCTTTCAAAGACCAGTTGATTAGAGTGCAGGACAGGCATGTTCCTGTGAAAATGAAGTTCAGGAATGGCAGGATTCAGGAACTTTGGATGACAGGGAAAATGATCAGCTTAGTCAAAAAAGGAAACATACCTAAGGTCTAGGCAACTAAAAACAGCCGAAGTCCTTGAAGAAGATAGAAAAAGGAGGAAGGAGCTCAAACAAGGAGTTAGGAGAGCTAGAAGGGGTCATGAAATGTCCTTGGCCAGCAGGGTTAAGGAAAATCCCAAGACATTCTATGCATATATTAGGAGCACGAGGGTAGCTAGGGAAAGAGTAGGCCCACTCAAGGATAAAGGAGGGAGGTTATGTGTAGAGCCTTAATGGGTGAGATCCTTAATGAGTAATTTACATCAGTATTCACCAAAGAGAGGAACGTGAGAGATGTTGAAGTGAGGGAAAGGTGTGTGAATGCTCTCGGGTAGATCAACATAATGAAGGAGGAAGTGTTGGGTATCTAGAAATGCAATAAGGTTGACAGATCCCCTGGACCAGATGGGATCTATCCCAGGATACTGTGGGAGGCAGGGGGCAAAATCGCTGGGGCCTTAAGAAATGTCTTTGCATCCTCTTTGGGCTCAGGCGAAGTTCCAGAGGCCTAAAGAATGGCCAATGTTGTTTCTTTGTTTTAGAAGGGTAACAGAGATAATCCAGGTAATTACAGGTCATTGAGCCTGACATCAGTAGTGGGGAAACTGTTGGAGAAGATACTGCGAGACAAGATGTATTCATATTTGCAGAAACTGAGAGATTGCTAATCATCAGCAGAAGAGTATTGGGTTGGGGGGAGAAGTGCTGAAAGAGCTGTTCAAGCTTTTCAGGCACAAGTCAATGAACAAAAGGAAGGACAGTTCTAGCAGAAAGATCAAGGGCAGACTTTGGAATGGGAATAATGTGGAAGGCACCTCACAGTAAAAAAGAAGAAAGTACCATCCAGCCTGGAGGAGGCAGTGTTGTAAATGCAAAAGGTTGACATACTTTATGTGTCAGTGTTTTTCTGGATAGAAGAAAAGTAAGCCTGAGCATACAATTGCTGGTGAGATGAAGGAGAGTACTTTTGGAATTATTCTGCACCCAAGAATAGGTTGGCGTAATCACTTCTTGAGGTGATGGCCTTGTTGTATTTTCACTGAACTGTTAATCCAGAGACCCAGATAATATTCTGGGGACCTGGGTTCAAATCCCGCCACAGCAGATGGTGGAATTTGAATTCAGTAAATATCTGTAATTAAGAATCTAATGATGACTGTGAATCCATTACCGATTGCTGGAAAAACCCATCTGGTTCACTAATGTCCTTTAGGGAGTGAGACTGCCATCCTTACCTGGTCTGGTTGACATGCGACTCCAGACCCACAGCAACATGGTTGACACTGAACTGCCCTCTGGGTAATTAGGGATGGACCATAAATGCTGCCTGGCCAGTGATGCCTTCATCCTGTTAATGAATAAAGAAAAAAAGGTGAAAAATGATTTGTTGGAATGATGACTGCAGGTGGTGAGATCGAGAGAACGTGAAATCCCAGGTAGACACTGGCACAATGTACAGCAGCATGAGATTTACACAATTGTGTACAAGTGGCGACCCAAAAATTAAGCCATTCAAGGTAACGTTGAGGCTTTGTGATGGAATAATGCTTATGCTACAGGGATAAACTAAGCCAAGTGTCCATACAATAGGAAGAAATAAGATCTGCTGTTCCATGTGATGGACACTAAGCAAATTGCCCTCACCTCACTTCAAATAGATCAAAAACCTAAACTAGTAATCTTTCAGAAGAGAAACCAGAAGAGATGTACAGTGCTTCACATGATACCAAGATCAACAGATCTTGACAGACTAGAATCTTGTTCATATCAAGTCGACTACAACTTCTTGTAGCGCTTGAAGTGTGTGATGAGACAAATGCCTTGAACCATCAAATACACTGTCTTTGCTGTAAGAATGTAGCAGTTATATTGAGATGAAATGATCACACAAGATGGCATCTTGCACCAACTGATTAGAGTTATAATCCCAAAAGCGACGGGAAAAGAGATGCTGAAGTACATTCCTGAAATCCATGTGTGTTACTTTTTGCAAATGTGTCATAG